GTGTGCGTGCATGTGTGTGTGTTCGGATACAAATTTTCGTCGACGATTTCGGGAACACGGATGAAGCAATTTGAATAATTCAAAAACATTCGATTCGTATTGATAAGGAGACGTGCTGATTAGTTTTTGTCAAAGGCAGGTCTAGCCGTTCCGAAGATATGGGGGGCAAAAGGGCCAAAACGGTAACTCAGTTTTTAAGAGAACGGAGCGTCCGATTTGTATAGTTCAAAAAACATTTTACTTGTATTAACAAGATGAAGATTTGATCAAATTTTCATGAAGATAGGTCTAGCGGTTTGGAGATCTAGTAAAAAAAACTAAAAAAAAATAACATATGGCGGTCAACAATAATCATTAGACATTAGACATATGCATATCAAATTATCAGATATTTTATTGAGATTTTAACAATAAGTATAAGTTTTGTTTACATTCCTATGGGTCCGTACTAATGTTTTTTCCGTTAGACAGCGACGCGGCGCTTACGCGCTTATTTTTTGTCTCTATGCAGTTAAAGAAGTACGATTGCTTGAAAAAAAGTTCAGATCTTCCAAAATATGTCAAAATGAAGATAACATTTTTTCCAGAAAAAATTTTATAAAAAAAATTGTTTAAAAATTTTTTAAAAAAAATTTTTTTTTCAAAAAAAAGTAATTTTTCGTCCAATTTAAAATTTCCAAAAAATCTTATTTTTCGAAGTAAAATTTTTTCAAAAATGTTAATCGTTTTTAAAAAAATAATATTTTTGGCACGGGAAGTTCCAGCAATTTGCCTTAAGGCACGATGCCTTAATTGCCTTAAGACAGAATTTCACTTACAGCTAGTTAAGAATTATTTTGGTACGGAAGTTACCGCAATTTGCCCTAAGGCACGATTCCACTACTCCACTAGTTTTACTAATGTTCTAAAACAAAATTCGCGTTATAGAGATAGTTTTAAAAAACTTGCACTGTGTTAAACTAGATAAACGTTAAATCAACGAGCTCTACAGGACGTACCGGTAGCATCACAACTTTGTATCTTCACAGATAAATCGAGTTATAGAGGACCTCGTCTTGCACCGGGTCATATATAGATATACACTTAAACAAAGAGCTCTGCAGGACGCACCGTTTGTATGACTTCTTTGTAATTTGACTAGTATATTATATAAGTTACCTACTATGACAACTAATATTAAAATCGGCATGTTTTTGAACAAAAAATTCGAATTATACACGATTTTATGAAAACATGCACTGCGTTTTACAATTTACACAGATTCTAATTCAACTCTGCAGCACGAACTGTTAGTACTACAACTATGTAACTTGCTAGATATATTCCTTAAGGTGTCTATTATGGTAACAAATACTGAAATCGATGTTTTGAAACAAAAATTCAAGATACTTCGTAAGGATTTTATAAAAGCTCTGTGCAACATATTTTAGATAGATGCTAAATCAAAGAGCTCTGCAGGATGCACCGTTTGTACCACAACATTGCAACTTGCTAAAAATATTTCTTAAAATATCTATTTAGGTAAAAAATACTAGGGTCGATGAGCTTTGGAATAAAAATTCAAGTTATACAGGATTTTATAAAAACTTGCGCTGTGTAATATATTCTAGAATGTAGATAGGCGCTAAATCGAAGAGTTCTCCAGGACGCATAGTTCGCACCACAATTATGCAACTTGGTAAATACCTTCCTTAAAGTATCTATTATGGTAAAAAATACTAAAATCGATTGGCTTTGGAAAAAAATTCAAGTTGTACAGGATTTTATAAAAACTTGCACTGTGTAATATATTCTAGAATGTAGATAGGCGTTAAATCGAAGAGCTATACAAGGCCTACCGTATTAATTACAGATATATCTATTATATATAGATAATATAATATATATATATATATATATATATAATCTATATAGGTATATATAACAGGGGTATATATACGATATTGTGGTTATTAACCATTAGGGCGTGGTAATGCAATGATGTCCTGAAAAGCTTTTGATCTTTTTCTCCCCCAATGAGATCAAAATGATATATTTATATATATATAATATATATATATATATATATTATATATATATATATACAGTGGCGGCGCTAGACCATTCGTAGGCGTCGGCGAAATTCGTTTGCGAGGCCCCCCCTTATTTCCAATTAAAGTTGACTAGTGATGCATGGCATCGTGCCTTAAGGCAAATTGCTGAAGCTTTCCGTGCTGTAATTTAAGTTCTTTAAAAGTTTTAAAAAAAATTGAAAATTGAAATAAATTTTTTTTTTATTTGAAATATTTTTATACTTTGAAATTTGTTGAAAATTTCGAACTTTTTTTTCAAAGCAATCACGCTGCGTTAGCCAAAATATCGGACGAAATATCGTACATTGGTACCGAATGCATAGTAATGCAAACAACATTTGTACTTATTAATAAAAATCTTTATAAAATAATTTATAGTTTGATGTGCATATGTCTAATGATCATTTTTGTACACTAAATGGCTTTGCTTTTACTTTTTTTATTGAATCTGCTCAACTACTAGATCTGCCTTCCTAAAAATTTAACCAGTTCTTCATTTTGTTAATGCAAATAAAATGTTCGTTGAATCATTCAAATCGGACGCTCCATTTTCTTAAAGACTGAAATACCATTTTGGCACTTTTTGCTCCATATCTTCGAAACGGCTTGTACATACATACGCACACATACATCCATTTTTCTTAAGGTATGCCAAAATGTTTAGAAACCTTCGTAACGAAAAGGTGTATGAAAATTTTCATTCTCGATTTTTTGCGATTACTATAACTTACCCTACGGGAAGTTAAAAATTACATAATTTAAAATAAACAACTCTTCGGCAAAAATAGTTCGTTCTTCAGATATTAGAAAAATACTGAAATTATAATTTATTCCGAAGAAGTTTCTTTTTGTCAAATCATTCGATTAGCTAATTTTATGAATTTTCGACGACCGTTCAAGTCATTCGGAATGAAAATGATTCGAAACCACCGACCTAATCAGTAACTAATTAGACTAAATCAGTAACTAAATTTTGCAATCTACAATTGAATAATTAGAAAAATCTACAATCATAATGATTTGAGTGCACAAATCCGCACATGGAACATACACATGGCATTACCTGAAAACTCGGCCCATTATTCCACAATTTAATGAATTTTTATAATTAATCACTTATCGCAGTTCCATAAAATTTATGTTAGTTTAGACTATAATTGTTATCCCTATATAAAATTTTTTTTTAAAAATATATTTTTACAAATCTTTTAACTCTTATGAAAGAAAAAACGGTACGGCCGTTCTTCTCTACGAAATTCTAATCAGCACGGTTTCCTGAAAATGCTGAACTGAAAACTTTCGAACAGTTTTTGAATTTTCAAAATTCGTTCAGGAATGTCGAAATGTCGGATTTTTTAAGAATGATCAACCGATTTAAATGATTCAAAAAACATTCGATTTGTGTTGATAAATTGGCAAAGGCAGGTCCAGCGGTTTCGGAGATGCAAAAAAAGTGTGAAAGGTTATAAATGCAGTTTTTGAAAGAACTGATCATCCGATTAAAATAATTCAAAAAATATCTTGCTTGTGTTGAAGGTGTGAAACGATGATTAGTTTGAAATTAACTGTATTTATAATATTTATTTCAAAATATAAAACGATAGTTATATCTCATTGATCAATTCTTACTGATCATTGATTAATTTTATTTCTTGAATATTTAATTACAGTTTGGATATATTATGATACCTACTCATAAGAATTCCTAAAAGGAATAATGATTTGACATTATCTTCACATAAGAAACAACCAAACAAATATAAACAATCAGAGAATTGGCCTTCTCGCGCGAAGTTGTTTAGATTTATTAATCTATAGTGTTGACAGACGATATTAGATAGTGTCCATTAGAATTAAGAGAGTAAAGATATAGTGCCCGTAAGTTTTTACTTGCACATCAGTATGAAACAAAACTAAATAAAAATGCAAAACTAAATTTTAAATAATTAAAATTTTTCCGGGGCCTCTTGCGAGGCCCCCTGAAGCGCGAGGCCGTCGGCGGTCGCCGACACCGCCGACGCCTCGCGCCGCTACTGTATATATATAAGGATATATATAAGGATCAAGGCGCTGCCACCAAAATTATCCGAAATGTATCTTTTAGTTAGTTATTGTGTTAGTTCCATCATTATTAACAAAATGTGATCATATTTTTTATATTATATTTATATTGACAATAATTTGTTAAAAAATACCATCATTTAAAAAAATATTTTTGTATTAATTTAAATAAAATCATTGTACTGATGATGGGAGCGAAAAAATCCGAAACGTGGTCAGATTTCTTATGAAAAAAGTGAAATAAAAGTAATTGTTAATAGACCCTAGAAACTTCTTAAACCATTTTTATCTTATCTTGTAATAAAATGTCCTAATTTGCTGAGAATTTACAATCTGTTAAATGTAAAAGTATCTTTAAGATTAAACATTCGAGTTGTGAACATAACCTCATGTTATGTTCCCATGTACATGTACCCAATTGACTGATTTTAATTTTATTATACTTAATATAAAATAATATTTTTTATTAACGTACTATAAGATGATATACAATCCGTTGTAAGATCTATCTCAAAATAATAAAACATGTTAGATATGTGACATAACCTCAAAGAGGATACTTAACATAACCTCAAATTATTGTTTTTTTTTCTCTTTCATTGTGAACTAAAATATTTTCTCATGTATTTAATTTCCCTGTTATCTAATTTGATAAGCAACTATTATAAGATAAGATATTTGTTTTTATCATTTTTTTAAATGTCAACCATAAAAGTACATTAAGAAGTTGATAACATAACCTCAAACTATCCAATTGACTTCCTTCATTCTCGTTGTGTTATCTAACTGGAAGATCATTACAAGCTGAGATTAATTTTATCAAATAAATGAAAAATTATTTTGTAATAAATCTATTTTTATTTTCAGATTACGGTTCGAATGCTCTGAGTGTTACAAAATCTTCCCTGGACCCACATTCGCACCTAAGGCAACCCGGTGAGTAAAATCAGACAACACTTAATGTACAAATATAATTTTTTACTATAATGAAATAGCATTAATTTAAAACATACTATTAAATGAGCATAATCTGTCAAAACCATTTGACATTTGACGTATGAGCCGCCGCCCATTGTTTTATTTTAAATCACGCTTCTACAAAAAAAAAATAATAAAAAATGTAAAGTTTCTATGCGGTTTTGAAATAATATCTCACCTTTCCGTTGCATTTGTACGGATTTACACCCTAGTCGCGTCTAAAAAAGTTTTACTTAAAAAAATTTCTCATCATTTTGATATTCAATTTTCTCTTAGTCTTTTATCTATCCTTGTCTCAACTATCCTTGAAAACGATCCAGCATCAGGTTTTTGTGCTCAGTCACACGTTGATTAACTTTTAAATATTTTATTGGATAAAGTTCACAATTAATTTACAGTAATTTATAAGAGAATGAATCAACATCCCTGATACTCAAAAAATCCAAATCAATATAAGACTATGTTTTCGGATCATATTATTAGTTTAAATCATACTTATAATATCAAGAATTCTATTACTTTACATAAAAATCTCTCTTTTTGTACATGATGCTTACTGTAATATTATTAATTTTTTTTAAAATAAATCTCTTTTTTTCAATTTTAGATTTTGGTCTTTCATGTTTTTTATAAAAAAAGTTTCTTGTCATTTTGATATTTAATTTTCTCCTAGTCTTTTGTCCATCCTTGTCTCAACTATTCTTGAAAACGATCCTGCATCAGGTATTTGTGAACCCCGTCGTTCTCTGTCGGTTTGGTTCGGACTATCTTCTCAGTCACACGTTGAATAACTTTTAAATATTTTATTTAAATTGTAACGATTGTAATTGTTGTTACATTGGAGAAAGTTTACAATTAATTTACAAGAGAATGAATAAACATATTTGTAATTCAAAAAATCCAAATCAATCTAAGACTATGATTTCGGAACATATTATTAGTTTAAAGTTTAAAGCATACTTTTAATACCAAAAATTATCTTATTTTACATAAAGGAAAGAATAGTGATCGTAGAAAATTAGCTGCATCTGTTTTTATCTTCTTAAATCTTTTTTTTTGTTTATTAACAAAATGCTGCCCTCTTACAATTAGTATCTGATACTTACCATAACATTATCAAGTTATAAATCAATAATAATTCTTTTTTTTTTCAATTTCTAGATTTATTATTTGTAAATATTTTTTTTAAAAAAAAAAAATTCTCGTCATTTTGATATCTAATTTTCTCTTAGTCTTTTATTCATTCTTGTCTCAACTATCCTCGAAAACAATCCTGCATCAGGTTTCTGTGAACCCCGTCGTTCCTTCATCGGTTTTGTTCGGACTTTCAAATATTTTATTTCATCGTTTTGTGTTTTAAGATAAAATCAAATAAAAAATTACAGATATTTTAATTTGTGAATTATGTTTAATTAATAGAAATTGAAATTTGCATTGATTAATTTTTACTGACGAACAAGACAAAGGGCTTAGGGTATTTACAGTGAGGCAAAATGTCACTAGCACCTAGTTTACAATATTATATTTCCTCGAGATAAAAATTGTAAGCCAAAATCGACTTATAAAAGAAACTATTAGGGATTATCGATTTTGCCTCGTGTTCCTTATTTTTCGCACGCGAAATATTTGCACAGCCACTGTGTATGTCAACAAATGTATATTTATACATTTATATATATATATATATATATATATATATATATATATATATATACATGAGGCTAATGTATAAATGAACGTACGGTCAGTTAGTCTTGACAGAAAATCGTCTTGGCAAACTTTTTCATTGTTTGCCTTTTGCAAACATTTGCCACTTTTTCCCAAACGAACGACGTGTATATCAATACACACATATATACCTTAAATATTGAACACATAACCTTAAATATTGTTAAAAACATGTTTAAAAATCCAGAAGACATAACCTCAAAAATGTTATAATGTTTTTCCATGTACAATGTTTTATACTTGTTTATCTATGATGTTTACCCACTTTATTTTTATTGCAGGATACTAAGATTTTAATTAAAATTAATTTATATTCATATTCTGACACGAATTATCCATCAGAAATATTTGTTACTGATTTTTTTTTTTTTGAAAAATTGTCGCATTCTTAAAAATCTTGAGTGTGTTTGCACCCTAACATTAAACATTTGTTATTAGGCGGAGGGCGCATGTGAGTTTTTTATTATAGCAATCGAAAAGTTGATACAATATTATATTTTTTACAATATTTTTTAAGTATTAACTATTTTTGGAATAAATTTGAATAAATGATAATTTTTTTACAATGAACAATTTGAACAAAACAATTAATTAAGTAATTTCATTCTATCTTAGTTACTTATTACGAACAACCTTAACTATGAAGTAGTTTTGATTACGCTTTTTTTATATATGAAAATGCGATAAAATTTAAAACTTCTATCAGTTGTAATGAAATCATAATAATTCATATTATAAATAAATACTAGTGGTACATGGAATCGTGTCTTAAAGCAAATTGCTGGAACTTCTCATATCAAAAATACAAATTTTTGAATAAGATTCATAATTTTTTTAGAACTTTGATAAAAATAGATTTTTAAGAATTAAATTTTTTCGAAACCGCTAGACTCTCCTTCCGAAAAATTTCTTCAGTTCTTCATTTCGTCAATGCAAATAAAACGTTTTTTGAATCATTCAAATCGGACGCTGCGTTCTCTCAAAAATTGAATTGCCATTTTGGCACTTTTTGCTCCGTATCTACGGAACGGACAGACCTGCCTTTGCGAAAAACTAATCAGCACGTCTCCTTATCAATACGAATCAAATGTTTTTTGAATTATTCAAATCGGTTGATCGGTGTTCTCGAAATCGTCGTCGGAAAATTGTATCCGCACATACATACATACACACACTCGCGCACACATACATCAATTTTTTCTATGGTATGCCAACATGTTCAGAAACTTTTGAAACGTGAAGATATATGAAAATTTTCATTTTTGATTTTTTTGCAATTACTATAACTTACTCTACGAGAAGTTAACCCTTTCCACTCGTGGATTTCTAGATTTATATGAATTTGGCATCCGAGTGGAAAAGGTTAAGAATATTAAAAAATATAGATCTAAATTTGAAAAACACAATTGGCTTGCGTAAATATTAGAAACTATATTCTACGACAGTGGTTCCCAACATTTTTTATACTATTATTTATTTATCTAACCAATCATCTGCTTTCTCTTTTCCAATCTGGCAAATTATATAAAAAGAAACCCACGATTTTTATTCAAAGCGCAGTCATTTTCTTACAACCAAGGGGGCGCTGTCGGAATCCAGACACAATACATAAAAGGGGGACTACTTTTTGCTTTTCTTTTTTCCTCTATTTTCTTTTTTCTGACAGGGGGGTCACGACGTCGTCACGGAGCCGCGCTTTCCCTTCGCAAACGAATTTAGAGCTTTTGTGATTTTTGGAGGAATAAAAAAATAATAATAGGTGGAGTGGGATAAAATATAGTCAATGGTGTTTAGCGTGGATTAGAACCAAAAAATCAATTGCAGTTTTAAAACCGGTAATAAAATGTGTATACATAATGCACAATATTCTTGTATTTTGAGTATTAGATTATTAAACACTTTTATGTATAAATTTTACATAATTTTATAAAATTCCTTCATTAAAATAATTTAATATACATTATTACCAGGAACACTTCTAGGGTCCTAATTTGTCAAATCCTATTCATATGTGTATCATTCAATCTGCCATGCATATACTCATAGCTGGGCATTAACTCGTTAATCCGTTAATCGTTAATTAACGAAGTTAACATTTTGATTAACGGATTAACTTTTAAGTTAACTTTTAAAAATGTTAACGGACACGTTAACTTCCGTTAAAATGCGAGAAGTCCGTTAATCGTTAATCCAATGCCTACTATTTACCGCACGGCACAGCTTTAGCCAATGCCTTATTAAACGGCATAGAGAAAAGATTTGGACTACTCCTGAATGATGAACAGTGCCAACTTGCCGCGGCATTTCACCCAAAGTTTCGGTTAATGTGGCTGGAAACGTATGACAGCAGTAGAGAGGAATGCAGTAAGAAAATGCACGGAAAAAAAGGTAGAAGATCCCTTATGGCAAGAAGCAGCGAAAAATTCGAAGGACAGAGATAGTTTAAGTGGCGAAGGGAACAATGCGAGTAACAACGATGATGACGAGAAGGAAGACTTTTTCAATTCTGTCACTCAGTCTATAGAAAAACCAAAGAGCTACAAACTCTTTAAAGAATAAAATGTGGCTGGATATGAAATCAAAAGACTCGTTCAACGATGCTGCATTCCTCGGGGAACAGATATTCATAAATCTATTTATTAAATACAATACTGCTATACCCTCAAACGCTGCAGTTGAACGTTTGTTTTCCACGGGTAAAGACATTTTGACACCAAAACGAGCCTCGCTTTCAGACGAGAACTTCAACATGTTAATGTTCATGAAGGGGAATATGCACCTTATGCCCGACGCTTAACCCGTCGCGCGTTTCCTATTTTTCGCAAAAACTAGCTGTAAATGGAATTCTGTCTTAAGGCAATTAAGGCATCGTTCCTTAAGGCAAATTGCTGGTACTTTCCGTACCTAAAATTATTATTTTTTTAAAAACGATTAACATTTTTGAAAAAAATTTACTTCGAAAAAATAAGATTTTTGAGAAACTATAAACTATTGGACAAAAAATTAATTTTTTTTGAAAAAAAAAATGTTTTCTTTATTTTGACATATTTTGGAAGATCTGAACTTTTTTTCTAAGCAATTTTACTGCTTTAGGACTGCATAGAGACAAAATATAAAGCGCGTAAGCGCCGCATCGCTGTCTAAAGGATAAACATTGGTACGGAACCCATAGAAATGTAAATAAAATTTATACTTATTGTTAAAATCTCTATAAAATATCTGATAATTTG